ATCACTTATAATTTATACACTGTAGTGTACCATAACCTTACCAAAATTTATTTGGAAAGAAACTCTTTAATCATCCTCTCTATATCAATGTGATAGGACAGCTGTAAAAAGAAATGAAAAATGTAACAATACATTAACATGTTTAATATAATCTGTAATCCAAACATTATACTTACTGCATTTTATTATGAATTTGAATTCATTTGTAAATCAATAAACAAAATCCATTTCTTGATGTTTTAAATTATATTTATTTGAATGAGTTAAAATATAGGATACACCTCACCAAACTAGATGAATCTTTTCACATTAAGTAAGATTCTGGACTATCCTCCATCCATTGCGTTACACATGTGATTGGCTGTTTTCCTGGATGCTGATTAGTTGAAAATTAATTTCATAACATGTACATGGTATTAGGCAGAAGACTTGATAAACTGCCTTGCAATCAAATTGCAGAGGGTGAAGATAGTAACATCTTTTATCTACATCGTCTATATCTACATGCTTTTTATTAAAATTGTCCATTAAAATGAGACTTGATGTAATTTACATTTAGGGGCCTACCTCATTTAATAAAACTCGTCACGAAACATAATAATTGCAAACTACATGTATATATAGAGAAAGCAACAATCTCTTCAAAGGTTAGGCTCGAAATTTACAATTTTCGCACGTTTTACAAAATACAACATTAATAATTATTAAAAATAAACAAGGTTTCTCAAGGATTCTCCTTTTATATGCTATAACCGATATAAAATTACGCTTATTGTTTGAACTCCATGTTTGGAGAAACTCATTTGCATGAACCCTTTGTAAAGAAATAACCGTCAAATTTTGCACCTGCATAAGAAACCGGCTATAGAGTTTGAAAGAAAAAAAGCAAGATAAAGAGTAAATTCGTGTCTTTTATTACAACAAATCCTTCCAAAAAAATTCCAATTGAAATCCTTAATTCTACTGCACACATTTTATTATTGCTGAGCTACCTTTCCATACTTTGCAAATTAAACTATATTGCCGCCTGTACACTTCTATTTCACTTAACATGGATCATCACACTTCATATTCAATAAGTTTATAAAAACTCGTATCCAATGCAGATCGACTCATCTGTGACTTAACATAAATCATAACAATTGTCCAATATGGTCATATAAATCATAACACTTGTCTAATATGTTCATATCCAGCTTGTATCAAATACTGAAACCCAGCATTGTCTTTGAGTTCTCCAAGTTCATCACAATTAAACACTGCCCTCAGTTCTGGCATAAATGTCTTCACGTCCATTCCTGAATAAAGAAAGTAATGACTTTAATTTATCAGAATATAAAAAAAAACTTAATAGTAGTTCACCCAAGACAAAACTACTGTCTTTGTCAGTAAAACTCATTGTTTTCAGCAATTTTATAATAACATTGCTTTCTAGAAAAAAAGATTTGTTTCTTATATTCAACAGGTAAAGAAACTGTTTTCAGAAAGATTGTTTTTTCACCGAAAATTCAAATACAAAAACATTAAAATTCCAATGATGCACACAAAGAAAAACCCCTGTGAAAAAGCTTTTAAAATTACATGTTTTAAAATAACTTATTACAAGACCATCTTTTTATCTTTATAATAATATTTATGCAATGAAAATTTGTCCTTTAAAATAAATCTTGTCATATAGAAAACCTCAGATGACATGAAATTCCATTCAATTTATCCATGTACTGCATCCTCAGACTTTCATTGTTTATTGATGGGTCAGTCTGCAAGAGAAATAAATCCTGAAAACTCCCCCAACTTTTAAACAGTTATCACAGAGAAAAAAAAATTAAAAATGGAAATATAAATCTATCATCCTTTCATTATTTATTATCATTGTTTATAATAAGCACACTGTTGTTTATTGAAGAGGTGGGGAAAACATTTCCTTTTTTCATAAGAGAACAGGTTTTAATGAGTAATAAGATATCAATTAAATGATTTATTATCAACAAAACCCTACCTTTTTCTTTGCCAGGGAGCCCTGCTCCATTTTGCCCAACTCTAAAAGAGTGGTGTGTGCCTGAAAATAAAAGAAAACACTAGATCAAACTTTCCATAAACACACAATGACACACTGATGCACTGTTAGGGCAAAACATTGCTAAGATTTAACCCCTAAGTCATATATGGTAAAAACAAATATTGGAAACTCCGTAAAATCTGCTGAAAAACCAACCTATCTAAAGATCTGGCAAACGTTACAATTTGTTTATGTTTTTAAGCAGGTCAAATTCCAGGATTAATTTAATGGATTCAGATGGGTTTCTTTGAGTTCAAAGGTAATTGGATGTCCAGATATGATTTACCTTAGAGAAGTTGTTGGTTTGTATATTTTTGTATATTGTGAAGCCAGCCAAGAGATTTAATGTAGAGGTGTGGTTTACCTTATAGAAGTTGTTGTCAGCTAAGATATTTAATGTAGAGGTATGATTAACCTTAGAGAAATTGTTGGTCTGTATATTACAGAGCCAGCTAAGAGGTTTAATGTAGAAGTTTGATTTGCATTAGAGAAGTTGTTGATCTATATTTTATGGAGCTAGCTAAGAGATTTAATGTAGAGGTAAGATTTACCTTAGAGAAGTTGTTGGTCTGTATATTATGAAGCCGGCTAAGATATTTAATGTGGATGTAGATTTACCTTAGAGAATTTTTGGTCTGTATATTATGGAGCCAGGTAAGAGATTTAAAATAGAGATATGATTTACCATAGAGAAGTTGTTGATCTATATTTTATGGTGCCAGATAAAAGATTTAAATTAATGTAGAGGTATGATTTACATTAGAGAAGTTGTTTGTCTGTATATTATGAAGCCAGCTAAGAGATTTAATGTAGAGATATGATTTACCATAGAGAAGTTGTTGGTCTGTATATTATGGAGCCAGATAAGAGATTTAATGTAGAGGTATGATTTACATTGGAGAAGTTGTTGGTCTGTATATTATGGAGCCAGCTAAGAGATTTAATGTAGAGATATGATTTACCATAGAGAAGTTGTTGGTCTGTATATTATGGAGCCAGATAAGAGATTTAATGTAGAGGTATGATTTACATTAGAGAAGTTGTTGGTCTGTATATTATGGAGCCAGATAAGAGATTTAATGTAGAGATATGATTTACATTAGAGAAGTTGTTGGTCTGTATATTATGAAGCCAGCTAAGAAATTTAATGTAGAGGTATGATTTACCTTAGAGAAGTTGTTGGTCTGTATATTATGGAGCCAGCTAAGAAATTTAATGTAGAGGTATGATTTACCTTAGAGAAGTTGTTTGTCTGTATATTATGGAGCCAGCTTAGAAATTTGATGTAGAGGTAAGTTGTACATTAGAGAAGTTGTTGGTCTGTATATTGTGGAGCCAGCTACGAGATTAAATGTAGAGGTATGATGTACCTTAGAGAAGTTGTTGGTCTGTATATAGTGGAGCCAGCTAAGAGATTTAATGTTGAGGTATGATTTACCTTAGAGAAGTTGTTGGTCTGTATATCATACAGCCAGCGAAAAAATTTACTGTCCTCCTTTATGCAGAAATCTTCAAAGTCCTATCTGTTGAGAAATTTACTAAATATACATTTCAAATGTTTGATTTTCATATACATGTACTCAACACTACATTCATTTTTTAAGAATAGATAAGAAAGATTTTGAGTGATTAAAGTGACTTCTTAGTAATGCTGTTCTCCAATTATTGATCTTCCATTGAGCAGTTTTGAATTCTGTTACCTTTAATATTTAACCATGCTGTGAAAGTTTCGTAATATTTATAGTGTGCTTTAACATGTTTAAATATCAAAATGTTTGCAGTTAGCTGTAGTAAGAAAAATTAAAATGGCAGAACTGAGAGCTTATATTTAAATTTCTACTGCACACAGACCAGGAAATCAATATTAAAAACAGTTAGGTAACACAGAGAAACAGGTCATGTGGTAAGAACTCATAACAAAACCTACATTATTGGCAACCATTACAGTCTTAGACGTCAGGTAATGTTTACACATTAAATTTTACATTTTGATTATTTTTTATAACAGTAAATGCACTACATTTACCATTGACTTTTAGCTGTCAGAAATTGGAGCGAGAAATTAAGCGATACCTAGGATTACATGTAAGATCAATGAATAAAGAATGACTGATTCTACTCAGAGTTTAATGTGGTTGTTTATAAGACCATGTCTTATGAGTTATGATGAGTCAAATTTTCAATCTCCTGTAAAATGTAAAATATTACTTATTGAATCAATCTTAAACTTTACAGATATCATTAGGATGTTTCACGATACGGGGGTCTGAATTAATACAAACATAATTTAACACGTCTACAACCATTCAAGTTTTATATCACATTGTTTTAAAATTCATTTACAATTCTGATATTTTACTTGATATATTGACCCAAATTACAATAAATTGAATAAGTTTGGAATTAGGCACAGATGTGTATGTCCAAGGCATGATTACTTTCAGTAGCAAAAATTTTAAATTTTACTATTGGTGATTGAAAAAAAACAACAATCATTGTTTGAAATCCAGCAAAATTTTCCTCCTACATATCTCATATCGATGAAAGATTAATTCATTTCTTAATATTATACGTACTTTATCTCTACCTTAAAGCCTTATTAACTCTTTACTTCAGAGTCAAAAGTTTAACCATGGACCCCCGTACCAGTGCCCAGGACGTGATGCGATGTGACCTGTGCGAGATTGCTGTGGTACAGATGCACTGTGATACATGTCTTGTCAACCTGTGTAAGGCCTGTGTGGGAGAACACATAATATCTGATGAATCCAAGAAACATGAAATTGTTAAATTTCAGTCCAAGAAATCAACCCCCCGATACCCTGAATGTAAATCTCACAATAAACAAAAAAGTACAATGTTCTGTAAAAAATGTGATATTCCTGTTTGTACAAAATGCCTTGCATCTGATCAACATCTGGGTCATAAACTATAAGAAATAATGCAGGCTTTAGATGAGAAAAAAGACAAAATCACGAAACAACAAACTGAATTAAAGGAAACAATTTATCCAACCTACGAGGACATTGCCTTTGATGTACAAAACAGAATGAGTCAGTTGGAAACGGAATATGGAGATCTCTCAACAGCCATAACAAAACAGGGAGAGTACTCGCATAGAGAAATTGACAAACTTGTCCAGAAACTTAAAGCTGAAGTTGATGAGATGAAAAACACACAGTTAAAAACTCTACAGAAACATCTGGATGAAATAAACATGACAATGTCTGACATCAAAGATGAAATCAACCTAGTTGAAATGGATATAGAAACATATGACTTGTCAAAACTATTTGATTTCACATCAAATGTAAATATATACAGAATTCTTCCACAAAAATTTGCACCATCTTTACCCAAATTTACTCCAGGAAAAATTCAAGGAGAAAAACTTGGTAAACTGTTCGGAACCTTATCATCAAGTTCTTTTACTTCAGATAAACATGGCTACAGCTTGAAGACAAAACAGAAATCACCAGAAGCTGGATCCTCTCCGCCAGTCAAACAGCTGCTTGATAAACCGGAGATTGTCACCACCATAGATACTGAGTATAAACAAATTTATAGTATGGCCTGTGTGAGTGATAAAGAAATCTGGACAAAGGGATATGATAGCATCATGAAACTCTACAGCATCAACCAGGGATCACTACTCAAGTCAATCAGAACCAGGTCAGGGAACATCTCAACTGACATTGCAGTGACAAAAAGTGGAGATCTAGTGTATATTGACGGAAGGGACAGAACTGTGGACGTTGCAAAGAATGAGAAGAAAGAGGAAGTGATCAAAATACAGAAGCACTGGGATCCAATTCGTGTCTGTAGTACCTCCTCCGGTGACCTGCTGATTATCATGTATAGAGATGATGAAACAAAAACAGAAACAAAAGTTGTCCGTTACTCTGGCTCCACAGAAAAACAAACCATTCAGTTTGATGATAAAGGTAATCCTCTCTATTCATTTAGTTATGATTATTATGGATACATATACATGACTGAGAACAGGAACTTGGATATCTGTGTGTCTGACTGTCTAGCTAGTGCAGTAGTGGTGGTCAATCAGGCCGGGAAACTGAGATTCAGGTACACTGGACATACTCCTGCTCCAAACAACAGCCAATTCACTCCACTAGGAATCACCACAGACAGTCAGGGTCACATCCTAACAGCTGATAATTACAATAACTGCGTGCACATCATAGACCAGGATGGACAGTTCCTTAATTACATACAGTGTGAATTATGTGGACCCTGGGTACTGTGTACAGATACAAATGACAATCTGTTTGTTGCTCAAAATAGCACAAGTCATGTAAAAAAAATTAAATACCTGAATTGATTGATTGTATATTGTTTAACGTCCCTCTTGAGAATTTTTCACTCATATGGAGACTTCACCGATGCCGGTGAAGGGCTTCAAATTTTGACCTATACTCGGCACTCAGGGCCATTGAGCAGTGAGGGTTCTTTATCGTGCCAACGCCTACCGTGACACGGGACATACGTTTTTAAGGTCATATCCGAAAGACCCGTGACTTTCACTTCCAGTGCCGAGCGCATGGCGAAGGAACATTCACTACCTTTGTTTACGTGTTAGGTATGACGCAGCGCCGCGATCGAGAATCGAACCCGGCCCTTCCGATCACGAAGCGACCGCTCTACCACTAGGCTACTGTGACCGGTAATACCTGAATTGAATCTATGGTAGTGTAGTGAGCAAATAAAATCCACACAAAATATAAACCATAATAATGAATTAAGCAAAATTTAGTAGAATATTAGCACTCATAACAATAAGGCGCAGAAAATTTTCAAAGAATTTGTGCATTTTCACTATAAGATCAATAAAGCCCCGCCCTTAAACCAAAACCCCTGACCCTGGGGCCATGAAATTTTCAATTTTGAAAGAGGCAGCATTATCCAACATAACTATGTACTTGGTTAGCTTATTTAATGCCCAGGAACAGAGGAGACTTAAAAAAAATAATGATTTTTACCTTTTATATATGTAGTCCAGTCAAATTAAAGTAATGGAACCCCTAACCCTGGGGCCATGATTTTCACAATTTTGGTAAAAGACTCAATACTGATTACAATCATGCAAACAGTTTGGCTGCTTGATGTCTAGGAGCAAAGAAGGAGAATTTTAAACATTGCTTTAATTTTACCCCTCAAAATTTCCCCGGGGGGGGCAGGAACTATGAAATTTACAAATCTTGTTCCGCTTTACCCATAGATACTTTGTGCCGAAATTAGTTTAAATTTGTTGTGCAGTTCTCTATGCAGAGAAGAGGCTAAGATATTTAAAAGGTTACGACTGATTGAGAATGGAAGACAACAGTTAGCAATAGGTCACTTGAGTGACTCAGGTGACCTTAAATCATAGAAATCCTTTCTAATTAGAGGTTATACTGTAAGTAATTTTGATAGTTGGATTATGTTAGCAAGAAAAAACTTTCTCTGTCCATGTAATGAACAAAATAGTTCAGATATCTTATAATATACTTATAATGTATATGCATGAATATAATATATTTGCATGAAACACTCAAAATAAAGAAAAGAAGATTATGACGTACATGTAGTGCATTGTGACATCATAATAGGCATGTACAAACATGATTGGAAAAGGTGAGGAAACATTGGAAATAATATTGTCGTTATCTATTCAACAGTAAGCATAATAAATACAACCTCCGGCTTGTGCATCATGTGTCAAACCCTGACTACTATTAAGGCAAAGTACATATCAAACACAACACTTTTATGTAAATCCAAACTTTTTACATGTATCTATTATGTCAAGAATTTATATTCATTTGTAAATCAACAAACAGAATATTCATTCCTTAATGTTTCTGATAAAGTCCACATGAAAAAAGAACACTAAAGTGGAGCTTTAATTTACATTTTCCTCATTCGGATAAAACTTGTCAGCATACATTAAAACATCTATATGCTAGCTATACAGACAGCAGCATCAATTTCTTCAAAGATGAAGCCCTAAATTAACTATTTTCGCAGGATTTCACACTAAGTACAAATAAACATCAAATTTAAAAAAGATTCCTAAAGCATTTTCCTTTTATATCTTTAAATAAAATTACACTAATGGTTTGAACTCCATGTTTGGAAAAAATACTTGTATGCACATGTACATGAAAACTTTAATCAATGAAAAAAATTAAAGTCAAATTTTTCATCTGCTCAAGAAACCTTCTATACAGTATAAAAAAAGCAGCAAAAGGAGTAAATTTTTGGCTTTTATTGCAACATTCCTTATCAATATTCCAATCTTCACCTTAATTCTACTGCGAATGGCATTATTACTGTGCTACCTTTTCATATTTTGCACATTTACTACATTGCCTGTCCTCCTCTATTTCACTTAATTATATCAGAATTGAAATTTTGGTTAACAACTATTCATAAATCCTAACACTTATCCAATATGTTCATACATGCAAAGCTTTGTATCTAAAACAGTCTGTCTCTCAATATAATTCATAAAACTTGTCCAATATGCTCATATCCAGCCTGTATCAAATACTGAAATCCAGCATTATCTTTAAGTTCTCCAAGTTCATCACAATGTAACACTGCCCTCAATTCTGGCATAAATGTCTTCACGTCCATTCCTAAATAAAGAAAAAAAGACTTTCATTTATCAGAATATAAAAAAAACTTAGTAGTAGTTCGCCCAAGACAAAACTATTGTCTTTGTCAGTAAAAATCATTGTTTTCAGCAATTTTATAATAACATTGCTTTCTAGAAAAAAATATTTGTTTCTTATATTCAACAGGTAAAGAAACTGTTTTCAGAAAGATTGTTTTTTCACCGAAAATTCAAATACAAAAACATTAAAATTCCAATGATGCACACACAAAAAAATCCTTATGAAAAAGCTATTAAAATTACATGTTTTAACATACCTTATAACAAGATCAACATATCTTCACAATAACCTACCTTCTTTGTAAGCCAGGTCCACTGTTACATGTATTAACATACCTTATTACAAGATCAACACATCTTGATAATAACCTACCTTCTTTATAAGCCAGGTTCACTGTTACATGTATTAACATACCTTATTACAAGATCAACACATCTTCACAATAACCTACCTTCTTTATAAGCCTGGTCCACTGTTACATGTATTAACATACCTTATTACAAGATCAACACATCTTCACAATAACCTACCTTCTTTGTAAGCCAAGTCCACTGTTTTAAAGAACACAGTATTCATGATGGTCTCCATAACATCCACTGAATCATCTTGTTGCCAGCTGTTAATATTAAACACAACTTTTGTTCTTTCATTGTATTTTGTTAAAGTATACAAATAATTTATGCAATGAAAATTTATCCTTTAAAATAAATCTTTATTGTCATATTGTAATCATCAGATGACATGAAATTCCATTCAATTTCTCCATGTAATTGAGGCAAATGGAGCAAAAAACTTAAATACCTTCGCAGCACTGTTAAGGCCTACTATGAGAAATCAAGGGAAAATATATGTGCTAAAAGGGGGATTTTATTTAAAATTGAATTTATATCAATTAAGCTGTTTTATTATCACAGAAATTAAATACCTATGGAAATAGCATAGCATAACCCACTGTGTACTGTATGAAGTTTAGTCCCATCGATGGGCAGTCACGTGATGAATGCATAGTACGTATACTGAATGTAGGTCAAAAACATATTTCAATATAGCAAGGGCAAACCCTAGTTTAAATTAAAAATTCAAGCTTTTAATTGTTTCTGCATACTTTGTAGTTTCTGAAAAGTGCTGCTGCTTTGAATAGAATTCGCGTTTTGATAGATAAATTTTCAAGCTTTTAATTGTTTCTGCATACACAGGTAAAATTGCAACGTATGTTCACCATATGTTTTGAGAACCATATGTTGAACATAAGTTAAACATATGTTGAACATATGAATTTTCCGCAGTATGTTTAATATATGTTTTAATCCTATGTTGAACATATGTTTAAAACATATGTTCAACATATAGCTGACTCAAAACATATGTTAAACATATGTTTGTGGTAACCATATGTTTAACATATGTTTAACGTATGTTCAACATATGATTATTTCAAACATATGTTTAACATATGTTTTGAGTTTGACAATTTTTACAATAAAACATCTCCAATGTCAGGAAAAGTTCAACAGCTCATTTTTCCTGCCAACAAAGTTGAGAGTTACCTTACATTTTAGATAAATCATAAATTAAAATCATAATAGACTAAGTTCAGCTATTCCATTAATTTCTGGGTTACATATTTTGGACTGGGTATACCATTCGTAGACACCCCCCCCCCTCCCGGCCTAGAGAGAAAGTTGTGGCCTGCTTTAAAGTCTAATATAAATTACACAAAATTTATTTTATGTTAATTTTAAGCAAATGTACTTCAAGTAAAAAAAAATTAAAAAACATATATATCAAGATGAATTTGAATGTATACAAATAGGCCTATTTATTTACAATCTTGAATGTAGATAATCATTTCTTGTAGACGCTCGCATAAAAAAGAAGGATGTCTACTCTGTTACTCTGCACCCCACCCTCTTCAAATCTTCAAAAATATTTTACTTTTTTAAAACTAAATTTATCAAGTGGAAACAAAAATTATTGTAAATTTTAAACCGTTTTCATTTGGTTTATTCCGGACCGGTTTTGGTTTATATCGGATGGAAGTGTACGTCACATTTGACGTCATTGCTGCAGCAGAAGTCTTGGGTGTTGGAAAAGGGTAAGTGCTCTCAGATATTTTTTGAAGACTTTTGGCCTAGTTCATGGTGTTAAAATCATTTCATTACGGTTACAGAGAAGCGAATAAACTTTGTGTATAGCGCAGCATTCCTATCAACAAGTACAGGTGCAGTTCATAAAAGCCGAACCTGCCTTACCTGGTGATCAAATAAAAAAAAGTGGATTTGTTTATGATAAATGAAAAACCATACGGATCCAGCATTACCAATTTTTCATGTAAATTTGTTTTCCTTTGGGCAATAATTATGCTGACATACATTGTATTATACAACGATCTCGATATGAAAGTGAAAGTAGAAACTTTGTGTAGCAGTTCAAGTAAAATGTTATGTTCAGATCGCTATCCATACGGCTCTTTCGTCAATTTAATGAAAACTTTTTGTATTTATTAGGCCTATGTATTGAGCAACCTAAGTTCAGCGTCCCAGTGCCGTTTTTATTCAAAGCCGATTTGAGTGATGATTGAACAAAGTTATTGACCCAATGCCGATTTTAGTAGCGATTGTGTGATTACAAATCAGGTACATACAATAATAATCATAGTGATTACCAGTAATGAAGTAATGACTATTCAAGGAAAGAATATTTCCTGAGAAAATTCTTTTTGTACTTGTATCTAAATTCATGATTTAATGGCTTTTTAAAAAATATATCCAACTCTTTTTTTTCACAGAGCAATATTCCAGCACATTTTCTGGCCATAAGACAACAAAATATCTACATGTTGGGGATAAATTTTCATCTAAAACAGACATACAAGGTACTACTTTATGCGTTCATGATTTACAATTGTCAAAAGAACAATAAGAAAAACAAGAGGCCCATGGGCCACATCGCTCACCTGAGTAACTTGGGTGATGCAGATCTTTTTAAAAGGTTTGTTCTATATATATTTCTATGTAAAACTTGGATTCCCTATTGTGGCCCCGCCCTACGCCCGAAGGTCATGATTTTAACAATTTAATATCTACACTACCCAAGGATGCTTCCACATAAGTTTCAGCTTTCCTGGCCAAGTGGTTCTTGAGAAGAAGATTTTTAAAGATTTGTTCTATATATTTCTATGTAAAACTTGGATTCCCTATTGTGGCCCCGCCCTACCCCCGGGGGTCATGATTTTTACAATTTAATATCTACACTACCCAAGGATGCTTCCACTTAAGTTTCAGCTTTCCTGGCCAAGTGGTTCTTGAGAAGAAGATTTTTAAAAAATTTGTTCTATATATTTCTATGTAAAATTTAGATTCCCTATTGTGGCCCCGCCCTACCCCCGGGGGTCATGATTTTAACAATTTAATATCTACACTACCTAAGGATGCTCCCACATAAGTTTCAGCTTTCCTGGCCCAGAGGTTCTTGAGAAGAAGTTTTTTAAAGATTTATTCTATATATTTCTAGGTTAAACTTGGATTCCCTATTGTGGCCCCGCCCTACCCCCGGGGGTCATGATTTTAACAATTTAATATCTACACTACCCAAGGATACTTCCACATAAGTTTCAGCTTTCCTGGCCCAGTGGTTCTTGAGAAGAAGATTTTTAAAGATTTGTTCTATATATATCTATGTAAAAATTGGATTCACTATTGTGGCCTCGCCCTACCCCTGGGGGGTCATGATTTTAACAATTTAATATCTACACTACCCAAGGATGCTTCCACATAAGTTTCAGCTTTCCTGGCCAAGTGGTTCTTGAGAAGAAGATTTTCAAAGATTTGTTCTATATATTTCTATGTAGAACTTGGATTCCCTATTGTGGCCCTATCCTACCCGAGGGTCATGATTTTTACAATTTAATATCTACACTACCCAAGGATGCTTCCACATAAGTTTCAGCTTTCCTGGCCCAGTGGTTCTTGAGAAGAAGATTTTTAAAGATTTGTTCTATATATTTCTATGTAAAACTTGGATTCCCTATTGTGGCCCCGCCCTACCCCTGGGGGTCATGATTTTTTCAATTTGATATCTACACTACCCAAGGATGCTTCCATATAAGTTTCAGCTTTCCTGGCCCAGTGGTTCTTGAGAAGAAGTTTTTTAAAGATTTGTTCTGTATATTTCTATGTAAAACTTGGATTCCCTATTGTGGCCCCGCCCTACCCCGGGGGTCATGATTTTTACAATTTAATATCTACACTACCCAAGGATGCTTCCACATAAGTTTCAACTTTCCTGGCCAAGTGGTTCTTGAGAAGAAGATTTTTAAAGATTTGTTCTATATATTTCTATGTAAAACTTGGATTCCCTATTGTGGCCCCGCCCTACCCCCGGGGGTCATGATTTTAACAATTTAATATCTACACTACCCCAGGATGCTCCCACATAAGTTTCAGCTTTTCTGGCCCAGTGGTTCTTGAGAAGAAGATTTTTTAATGACCCCACCCTATTTTCGTATTTTCTTGATTATCTCCCCTTGGAAGGGGTCTTGGCCCTTGATTTTTAGAATTTAAATTCCCCTTCACCTAAGGATGCTTTGTACCAAGTTAGGTTAAAATTGGCCCAGTGGTTCTTGAGAAGAAGTTGAAAATGTGAAAAGTTTACAGACGGACGGACGGACGGACAGACGGACGGACGGACGGACGGACGGACGACAGACGCCGGGTGATCAGAAAAGCTCACTTGAGCTTTCAGCTCAGGTGAGCTAAAAATGTGTGTATTCAGTTTCATGAAATTAAAATAAAATACTGAAAAAAAAAACTGAATTAAAAAAACTCCAACAAGTATCAGTTAATTCATTGATTATTTATATATCAATTAACATTTTTTTTTTTTTTTATCAACACTAGTAGAGAAACCACAGTCTGTGTTGCAGTTAATTACTCACATGATAAACTGTGTAAATTATTATTTGATATTTTTACAGGTGTAATATACAACCTGCCTTTTTCACCGTGAATACATTGAAGAACAGACACCATGACCCCAAGCTTGCTTCAAAATAGGTAAGTAAATAATCTGTTATGAACTAAAAACTTTTTTATATATTCTTCCCATGGAAGTTTTAGGATTATAATGTATTCAAAATGTCTGGTTTTTTTTAATTGTCTGGTTGTTTTGTAGTATTTATTTTTTGGTCAAGGGTTATACATTTGTATCTTGATCATTGTGAATTATGCCTATAGCATGTTTTGCAATCTGTATTTACTAATTAAACATTCCAAATTCAATTGTCAAAATTTTGAAAAAGTTATTGCTTAAGAAATAAGCTTAAGTTATCATTTTTGAACATATATCGGGATATAAATACAGGTTGGTCACGAGATTAAATTCCATAAAGCCCGAAGGCTTTTATGATGAATTTATATTCATAATTTATGTTTACATGATTGTGACTTTTAACGTGTGAAATGCATTATTTTTCAAACCCAACGGCATGTATGTTATTCACTGAACGCACGTCGACCTTTTATGATGTCACTGAGATATTACGTCGAACGATTATCTATACGCACATCTATGACCTCTTGACCCAGTACCTGCATGTCATTTATACAGTTATAGTTACGCATTGCTTTCAGTAGTGTTATATAAAGGCTAACATTTGCAAATGTAAATATTATTGCTTCAAAGCTCACCTGTGCCTAAGACTAGAATGAGCTTTTTGGATTGAAGTCTTTCCCTTGTCTGTCGTAATCGTTGTCATCGTTACCTTTTCACAATTTCATCTGTTATTTAGTTTCAAATCACATTACATATACCTTAATTACTTGCAGTGTTTTATTTTTGTATTTCCAAGAGCTCAATCAACAGAAACTTTACATTGTAGGCTCCACCCGTGCCTTAACATGAGAAGTTTTCAAACCGTTTGACCATTATCGAAGGGGCTGAAGAAATTTCTTAAGTGCTCAAGGTAATTTCTTTTTTTGTAACATATTTTAATTAATAATACATTTAATCATCATGACATTGGGACTTCTTGATTACTGAATCATTTTCTTCATCATTTCAGAAGCTATGCAGTCACTGTCAGGGATACAAAGCCAGAATTGTGTAAAAATTTGAAAAATAAATACAGGATTAATGCTTACAATTTTGATTTAATTTCTTATTGTTTGCTTAAGGCATTTAAGGCCAAGTTTAATATTAGGTTCACATCGCAATCCAAAGAAATACCAATTATTAATAGGAAAATGTAAGGAAAGAAATAAAATTAACATATGCTCAACATATGTTCAACATATGAACACAAACATATGTTCATCATATGATCATACAAAACATATGAATAACATATGTTAAACATATAATCAACATATGTTTAGAAACGTATGTTTAACATATGTTGCTCGTTTTTTATGGCGAACATATGTTTCGGAACATATGTTAAACGTATGTTAAACATATGTTCAACATACGTTGCAATTTTACCTGTGTACTTTGTAGTTTCTGAAAAGTGCTGCTGCTTTGAATAGAATTCGCGTTTTGATAGATAAATTTTCAAGTAAATAGGCCAATGTAAAAAAATATTAGACTTTTACCAAATATTTTGTGTACTTATGAAATCACGCCCTCAATTCAAAGAGAGCAGCAGCACTTTTCAAGTTAAGAATAATATCCTCTATCTATATTCAAAAAATGATTAAGATCTATGCAGTGTATGCCCTTGCGAAAGTACGATTTTATGGTACATCACGATGTAAAATATATGTAACCTGTACATAAAAACACAACATAATTTATAAAATACATTCTCTGGAAAGTTAATCAATAATCGCACTAAACAAAGGATCTACATTGGTATAAATCGACTATTTAAAACCTGTAAATAATATTCCGTTTTATTATAAAACGCATTTTTCATTGTTAAAAAAATTCCTCAATCTGCCTCTCAAAGTACATGAAATACGTCATGTTTACCAAAATGACGTCATATATACAAGTTCATCGCAATCACTGCTTTGTTCAAAACCAGCTGTACGGGATTTACCTAGCAACTTTTTTTAATGCATTGATAAGTTTAATTGTTTTTTATTATTCTAATACAGTTAAAAGTTGCAAATTATTTCATTTTCAGGTAATATTATGATAAATACATAAAAGTCATATTTTTTGTGTGACGTCACAGTAAACTTTTCCCGTATAAATTAGGCCCCGCCCCCTAATTCAAGCCTTAACAATGCTGCGTTACAGGTATCATGATTCTATAGTTCTACCTGAGCCCTTACCTGTCTCTAAGAATAGACTGGGCCCAAATGTGCATCCTCAGACTTTCATAGTCTATTGATGGGTCAGTCTGAAAGAAAATAAATGCTGAAAACTCTGGGGTTTAATATAGTCTTCAATAAAAAATTAAAGGCACAATTCTTATCCATATTTGAATATCTCTGTTCTTATATTTTCAGAGGTATTCAAAAAATACATTAAACTGGAAAAGGAAGCTATCTGTTCTTAAAATCTATCTTCTACAAAAAAATTGAATCTTCTGAGACATTAATAAGTAAAGATACCCCCGTCTGTTGTTTATTTATTGCTCAAATTCCTATGTACATGTGCATTTAATTAACTTTTTTTTATTATACTCACATTTTTATACATTTACCTTGTCTATGTATTGTAAGAGATCCAGAGCTTTCTTGAAGTCATATTCCGTGGCATCAATGTTTGTTCCTGAGATGTATAACTGGAAAAAAAATAAATAATACAATAAAATTTACAATATAAGCATTTAAAGGCAAGAGAATACTAAATGTTTTGTACAATTTTTCTTTATGGTCTACAATCAATAGAGACAGAAATTAAGGTGGAAGTCCCCACCGATACACACCTCTATCAGCTGTACAGGGGAGAGAACTCTCATATTGTTTGGCTCCATGCCAAGGTTCTACAAGAAAACTGATTTTTGTTAAAATTTACTATTTCATTATTCCAATTTTTGTTAAATTGGATTTGTGAGTTAATTGATATAAGATGAACATAAATAGGTGAAGATAAAAACATAATGTTATAAAACAATAGTTAATATATAAGTTAACCTCTATGACAAGGGCAGGTAACTGCTGCTGATGGGCAATTAATTCTTGTTCTTCATTGATGTCTGAAATTAACAAAAAGTAAAATAAATTTAAACATAAATCCTGTACAATAGTGTACAGTAAATACATCATTTTATACTTCAGGCAAAGAAAGCAAAAGAAGAAAATGTTTTTTTTCTGTGTCAGAATTCTTTAGTATCTAAGGACCATTCAAAAATAATTTCAACCGAGCTAGTTTTTTGGTTGCTATATTAATTTGTAAATGGACTACAATGGCTGGAACGTTATTGTTGACAACTTACACGAACGATCGCGTAACACGAACGCCGCACGATTAACGCACAATTAAACCTGTTACACGAACGATCTTTCACGTTCTTGATTCTACACGTTATACGATCTTGCACGATTGTTAACGCAAACGCACGTTTTTTCACTCAAAATAGTTCAAAATATTTAGGAATTAATATTTTCAAAACGAAATAAAGCTTAATACTTATTTAAGATTTCAAAGAATTATTAATATTATTTCATAGACTTTGAAAAAAAAAAACGGAAAATGATATTTCTGTAACTAAATATATGCAAGACTGAATATTTCAGATTAAAAATAGTTATTTTTAAGGTAATTCTCCGTCAAAGAAAACGGATTTTGTTCGTTTTATTAGATTAGACGATATACATGTATGTGGGTCGTATAATTTGATTAAATTGGATATCATGATATGCAGAAAGGAGGATACGATTCAACAAAAATGGCAGCATTGAATGACTTAATTTATAATTACAAATTTTATCCTTATGATTCCATTTATTCAATGTGTGATAAACTTGCCAATTATTCAACTTTTTATTTGCAGAAATTTAAATTTATTAGTTTCAAATAAGCTCAAGAGATAAACACAGATAATCAAAACTCCCGAAAATCATGCCGTGTGCATGTATATTTGTCGACTAACTATACTATGTAGCAATGTAAGCATTGAGAAATGTTTATTTCTTTGTAAAAAAAAAATATTTATTTTCAATGAATTGATTTCGAGATTATCTTGAACACAATAAGAAATAAATAATAACTAAATCAGATTTTTCAGAAAGGCGTAAGAGATCTAAGTACGGTTTAACACAATATCAATCGGCTTATTTGACGAGGACTTAATATTGTACGACTTACTATATTGCTTGTTTACGAGCGATAATTAGTTCGTTCTGCATTCTATTATGTAAATTGCACTTTTTCATTTTATTTTGATTTTATATAATTTATTAAGAAAAACAAACAAGGGAAATGCATATTTTAGAAATAACATTCTGATAAAAACTTACAAAACGAAATTTACACGATTCTAAAAGCACGATCTCGCACGATTAAAAACGCACACGATTGAGTCTGATACACTAACGAACTTAAATGAACGTTCACTCACTATACACGAACGATTCTGCACGATTGGTTTGTCAACAATAACGTTCCAGCCACTGTAAAATGCAACTTTTTAATAAGTAAATTACTGTACATTTTAATAACAATGTTATTATTTTTTTTTGGTAAACAATAGCAACCTCTTCCTGATATTATAACATAATATTATAATAGAAATTAGAGCATACGACTTCATCAAAGGTTCTTAAAGGTTCGTTTCATGAATTAAATGTTTTACTGAACCCATGTGGTAAGAATAATGTCTTATACACTTAATTTAAAATACGAACCTCCATTATCTGACTATTAATACCTACCTAGTACATGTATGTTATTGTCTATATCTCCATTATCTGACTACTAATACCTACCTAGTACGTGTATGTTATTGTCTATATCTCCATTATCTGACTACTAATACCTACCTAGTATGTTATTGTCTATATCTCCATTATCTGACTACTAATACCTACCTAGTATGTTGCTGTCTATTTCTCCATTATCTGGGTCAGCTGCTAGTCCGGCCAATTTACTTAGACTTAACAGTGTCTACAAAACAAAACGTACGACTACTCAGTCAGTCAGGGACATAAACACATAACTGAGGTGTTATACTGACAAATTCGATAATGTTCTTAAGCAATCTTCTACACAATACATAATATTAATAATTTTATTATATAATTAAACACTTACCTGTCCAGAAGAAAATTCAACTTTAGATTACATGATTAAAAAGCATGATAGCATCTAAATGAAAAGTCCATCTTTCTTTCAGTTTATTATTAAACACTCTTGTTTATTCAAGAAAAAAAGGAGGAGGATCAAAAGAGAAGTATTCCTGACTTAATAAGATACATGTACCAACTAAATGTTTTATTAACCACAAAACCTACACAGTCAAAATATAAATGAAGTGTTTTGCTAATAAATTTGATAATGTATATATACATGTACATGTAAAAATAAAAAGATCAAACAACATTTGTCTTCAGCAATTTTTAAGCAATACTTGTGCATTCACATTTAATTGTAACAATACCTGTCCAAAGAAAATTAAACTAGTTAACATTGTCTACAAGTTTATAAAGCATGATAGCATCTACAAATGACAAGTCCATCTTCCTTTCATTATTTATTATCATTGTTTATTATAAGCACATTGTTGTTAATTGAAGAGGTAGAGAAAACATTTCCTTTTTTCATAAGAGAACAGGTTTTAATGAGTAATAAGATATCAAATAAATGAATTATTATCAACAAAACCTGACCTTTTTCTTTGCCAGAGAGCCCTGCTCCATTTTGCCCAACTCTAAAAGAGTGGTGTGGGCCTGAAAATAAAAAAAAATACTAGATCAAACTTTCCATAAACACACAATGACATACTGATGCACTGTTAGGGCAAAGGGAAGGATATGGAAATAACGAACAGCACTCAATCTCAACGTCCATTAAACAAATAAACAAAATAAGAGCAGAGCAAACACGGACCTCCGAAACATCAGAGGTGGGATCAGCAAAACATTGCTAAGATTTAACCCCTAGGTCATATGAGGTAAAAACAAATATTGGATACTCCGTAAAATCTGCTGAAAAACCAACCTATCTAATGATTTGGCAAA